TAGGTTTTGCCTTGCCTTAGCGTGTTTCAGACTCAAGCAGGTGGAACCAGCCACGGAGTTGGAAGTTTGATGAAAAGACGCAAAATCGGGTCAAAGGATGGAGGCAGCCGTAGATCACGGCAGAAGTAGAGAGTTCATGGTCTGGAGGACCGTGAAATAAAGCCAGAGACCGTGAAGCACCAGGAATCCAGAGGCATTTTCGGTCTCACTGGACTCAAGTCAGTTCACGGTCGTAAGACTGTGAACCCAAGCTAGAGATCGTGAAGAGCCTAAATGATGCAATGCGTTTTTGCTCCAGATCGCGATCCTCGCCAGATGTTTACGGCCGTGAATTGGGACCTTGACTCGAGCTTGACCTGGGTATAAAAGAGGCTTGAGATGAAGGAAGAAAGGGGGAGAGACCTAGTGTGAGAAACTTCTTCTTCTTCAAATTTCTGGAGTGAGAAAGTGACGAACCAAAGAATAGAAGAAGTTAGGGTTTCATCTTCAAGCAAGGTTTTGGGAATTCCTTCCCCAAAGGAGGATCTCTTCAACACAAGGAGCAAGGCTAGCATCTCCATGATGGTTTTCCTTCTTCTCCCTTGTGTTTTACCTTCTTCTAGTATGGAGTAGTCCCTTATTTCACTTGGGTGTTTGTAAACTCTAGCTACAATTATGTGAATGTTTGTATGGGTTGAATGATTTGTGTGTGTATGTGTTTTAATATGAATTTGGCGGTATTTTCATGGAAGATTGTGTTGTGTGTTTGCCTGTCAATCTATTTTGCCATTCTAACCTAGGTAGAGAGAAAACCCCCTTTCTTTGAAAGAGGCTTGTAAAGCTGGATTTTTCTTAGGCAAATCTTGTCTCCTATCTAGGTTAATGTAGGGCAACCCTCTTTGTACGTATTAGCACCTAGGGTTGGTTGTAATTTGGCAGTCCGAACTCTGATTTGAGGGTGAAGTTTTGGCAACCTTAGTCAATAGGTCAAGAGAACTACTTTGGGAGCTTGAATCTAATTCCCTTGACCTATTGACCGAGAGAGTGGCGTCCGTTCACTTGTTGTACTTCCCTACGATTTACAACCGTCTTACCACACATTTTCATTCGATCCGACAAGTCATAATTGCTAGCTAGGGGGAGCAACACCCGGGTGAAACCTTCTCAATTAGTGTCAAATCCATTTACTTGTCCAAATGTTTTAACCATAGATAGTTGTTTTCACCAAAAACCAATCGCTACATAATGTTTCAAACAATCGAAGTAGGGTTACATTGGCCGACCCGGGGTTGAGATTTAAACATACTTGCTCTATATTGCATCCAATTAGGGTTTATACTTGGTCCCTAATTGGGAGTTTTATTGTGATATTCGGGACGAGTCAACATTTAACTTCAGAGTTCTCATAAGAAATCCTTCATCTCACCCCAAAATGCGTCTTGTCAGGTAAGGTCGATTTCTTACTTATGAACCATGGATCTCTTTTGTGCTTTGTTCATGTATGATTCTCCTAAGGTGTTACATAAACCCCCCCCCCCCCCCCCCAATTGGGACTCAATATCCTCATTGAGGTTTGCGCCACCATCGTGGCACGCACATATGTTCTGATACCATTTGTAACATCACAAACCTTTTCCCGACTAAGATATTGTCTACCTTGGGCCCATACCCGCACGATTTTTGCCGTGGAAAATATATCGAGGTGACTTCACATAAGTTCACTCATTCTTGCAGTATTCCACTACGAGCACGTTTAATTCAAAGTTCTCACAAGAACTCCTCCATTTTACCCCAAAACTCGTCATGTCAGTTAAGGTAGGTTTCTTACTTATGAACCATAGATCTCTCTCTTACTTTGTCTATGCGGGATTCACCTAAGGTATTATAGATATCTACAAAAAATATGCATTTTGTATGTGTGTGAAATAAAAATATTCACAAAATCATAAAGGTACTCACATGTGATAAATAATCATAGCTCTATTGCATATCTTCACACCGTGAATTTTCCTTTCCTTGACATCTTTAGTTAATAGAGTTGAAAATCCTCCAAGTATAGTAGAACAGATAAAGGGAGAGGGGGTATCAATGATGAATTGAAACTTTTATCTAGGGGTGTCCTCTTCACTAAATTAAATTCAATATTAAATAAAAATTCAAACTATTACAAGTTATAATGAAACACCGCGAAGTGTTTCACATTTGGAAAAAATTGTAAAACATTAACTATCTATAGTGCTCAACAAATCTTTTTCAATATATTCTATAGACAATCATTCATGAACTAATTGTATATCCAATTTATAACCTTGTTCTTGACCCAATCCAAAGAAACTCTTTCAACATGAATGGTTGAAGAACATGGAGAGAAGATGAGTCAACTCTCTTTTTTACTTCCTTCATAAGTATTGAAGGATAGGGACCGCTAGATTGAAATTTAGCTTTCAGGTTTTGGAAGAAAAATTGGAGAAACTGGGTACAATTGGACTATTATTTTAGACTATTATTATATTCTTGTTTGAAATAAAACAATAAATGAGTTGCACTCTAATTGAAAACATATTCACTAATAATTGTAGTGTCATAGTTCGAATTACAAAGATTACCATTTTTTCCTCTTCCCCTTAAACTACTATCGTCGATGAATAATTTTTCTCCAAATTTTAAGGGTGGCCTAGGACACCTCTCATCGACCATGGGTCCGCCCCTGGGGTTCGTTTGTCATAGGCCGAGAGTATGATGGAATACCTTGGACTTATGCTCGTTAACAATGGTAGATTGCAATATTGACTTGATGCATATCATGATTAACCGAATCCAGGTTTCATGAAATTTGAGCTTCTTCATCGCCTTTTTCAAGAAAGACTATTCCACACGGTCATACGCTTTGGTCATATCAAACTTCACAGACATATAACCCTTCTTTGTTTCTTCTTCATGTGATGGAATTATTCAAAAGACGATACAACATTATCATGAATAAATCATCATGGGACATAAACACTCTATGTCTTCGAGATGAGGTTGTCCAAATTTCTTAAACATATTGGCAAGAATTTTAGAAATTGCCTTGTAAATAACTTGACATAGGATGATTGGTTAAAAGTCACTCAGGGAGGAGGGGTCCCAAAAAATCTCCTTTATGTGAGAGCTTCTCTCCCCATGTTCTTGGGTGGTGTTTCATCTTCCTCCCTTTCATGGAGGTTACTTGGATCTTTTGATCCATTTTCTTCCCTCTTCTCTTTCTTTATGACCTCTTTGTCATGGACATCTTTCTCCTGTGGTGTTTGTTCACATTCGTTAATCACTTTGCTGGAGAGTTTTTTGGTAGCTTAATCCTTGTGTCTCTTCATAACCTCCCCTTCCCTTCCCCTCATCCCCTTTTTCTCTTCCCTCACCCTTGTTCCTCCCCTCATACATGTCCCCCTGCCAACATGAGAATCATTAGTTTAGTCTGTAGAGACTTGGTCAGTCCTTAAGCAGTCTCATTTTACATGATATTGTTATCGAACAGAAACCATACATGATTTTGCTTTTGAAAAAAAACTCTCAAAATTAGAATGGGAACAATTACACAACAAATTGGTTTAGAAAATAGTGATAGCTGCCCTCCAAATAACATAGTGGGTGGCATTTGCTTATTATAAAATGAAGAAGTTGGTCTCTCAGTAAGATCTAGCTCTTTCAACCATTTGGATGGAGATGTTTCACTCTCTAATGGTGACCCGCCATGAATTCTCATATTAAAGACTGAAACTTGTATATGACATATTTCAACCAAATCCTATCATGGTTCATGGGCTAAAAAGACAAGGGGTAATCTGATGGAAGAAAATATGTCTCTGGACTTTTGGAAAGTTCTAGATGAGTGTATAATATGTTTGAGTGTGGTTTCAAAAGTTATTCCTTTACTTGAGATAATAGCAGAAAAATGAGAAATTTATTGAAAAAAATATTGATAGATTTGTTGCTCAATTTGAATGCCAACCTCTCATGTCCCTCACTTGGATAGGTGTGGATCTTATCACTACTGTCCATTCTAATGGATACAATATAACATATAAAGATGCAAATGAGATAAATGGAGGTGGAGCTTTGGAATGTAATCCTACTAGTTGAAGGCAAAATAGTCGTAAACAAAAAAAAAAAAACTCAGGAAAATCAAGTTTCAACCCAAGACTGCAGAAATTATTGACCAAAGAAGAAGATCAAAAGTTGAAAAATCTTATACAAGAATGATCTCAAATGGAAGCATAGATTTAGAGTTGATTGGCTAAGATCGGGAGAGAAGAACACAAAATTTTTTTATGCTAACGCTTTTGCCCGACGAATAAAAATTATTATGATAAAATTGAAGGATGAAGTTAATAGAATATCATAAGGGCAGGAGGAAGTCATGGAATGTGTTAACGAATGCCACAACTTTTTGCTCAAAGAGACTATCACAATTGTGATGTGGTTATTAAAGCAATTGAACTGAAAATTATAGAGGAAAATGATCAAATTTTATCAGCCCCTTAGAAAAAAAAGTTATTAATGTTTCGAAACATATAGGACCCCATAAGGCCACGGGATCCGATAGATTTTCTGCCAAATTTTACAAAAAAAAAGAAAGATTAAACTCATTTGGGATGGATCTTTTATGAGGAAGTTTTGGAGAGTGGGTTGTCATCATTACTCGACTTGAGAGTTTAACAACAATTTTCAGCCATTTGTCTCGCTTTTCTTTAGCATTTATTTTTTTTATTAAAAATATTATACATTTCTGTTTTTAGTACAAAAAATTTATCTTTTCCTGTCACCACCCCATTACATCCAAAGCTTCGATTTTTTTCCTTTTTCTATGAGTAATTACAAAAACTGCTTCAATTTATTTTTTCAGAATTAATGTAACAAACCAAATTTTAAAGGAAAAAAAGAAAAGGAAACTAACTACGTTAAAAAAAAGTAAACAACAGCGACAGCCAGGACGAACGATCGAATAGATGAATAGACATAGATATAGTCATCCCCTTCCCATTGTATTCAGCCGCTGATGTTCGCTCTCCCTCTCTCTCGCTCCTCCGTTCTGCTTCTAAAAATATATACAACTCTTTCCTTCCCTTCCCTTCCCTTCCCTTCCCTTCCATTCCTTACATTCATTCTCTCTCGTCTTCCTCTAATTAATTCTTCCCTCTCTTTCTCTCCGAGCATGCCATTTCTCTACATTTCCTCTTTTTGTTTAGATTCACGCGAGAGGGAGAATTATACGCAAAGATTACGTGAAAGGTAACAACCACTAGCATCGGGAGAAGAAGAACAAGAACAGGAAAAATGGCATCTAATATTGGGATGATGGACGGCGCATATTTTGTCGGCAGGAATGAGATATTGACTTGGATCAACAATTGTCTTCAACTCAATCTCTCTCGCATTGAAGAGGTCCTCCGTCGTTTCCTCCTTCTCCTTCTCCTGTTTATGGCGTTGTTGGCGGGAACGGGAAAGGACATGTTCTTCTTTCGCTGCTTTTGACTTTTGCGACTTAGCTTCCATTTACTGGGATTTAGGTTTATGTGCTTCCATCTGATGCTCGTTATTAGAACTATACTATGTTCTTTCTTTAATGGCGTAGTAATTATTGTTTATGAAGTTCGGCCTCTGATTCTATTTCTTCTAATTGGGGATTAAATTTTGATGACTGGAGATTGAAGGTGTTGATTGATCAAATCAACCCTTCGTGTCTTTTTTCCTTGAGGATTTTGATATGAAGTTCTTCGTTTGATGAAGGAACATTTGGATGATGATGTAGACTGTTCATCTTGTTTATGATGATGGTTTTCTATCCTTGGTTTGATTGATGGTTTCTTTCATATATGGTGCAGGCTGCGTCTGGTGCTGTTCAATGTCAGATGATGGATTTGACTCATCCAGGAGTTGTGCCAATGCACAAGGTGGTGACAAGACTATGCTTCTCTCATCTTTCGGTCATTTAATGCCCATACTTTACCAATTTGAGAATTGCAATTCTACAGAAGCTTCACTTTGCGATGCTAGTTTTGGTTCTATTGTAGGTGAATTTTGATGCCAAGTCTGAATATGACTATATCCAGAACTACAAAGTGCTACAGGATGTATTCAACAAGTTAAAAATCGAAAAGGTATCACTTTGTAATTTCTAGCTTTTTCTTTCTGAGTACTTTCATCGTTGTCGCCCTTCTTCGAGTTTTGTTATATTATGGCTTGAGCTCATGATTAGTTGGCGGGATCAACTTTAGGCCTATGGATCTACGTGGTTTTACAACTTAACTTTGTTGGTTTTAACACTAGGATTCCAAAACCAATAACGATTACTGTTTTGGGGAGGGTATATCATATCATGTTACCAATTAGTGTGTGGCCGCAAAATGAAGTGATTGAATGGCGGAAAAGAGAGAAAATTATCAGAGATCTTGTGGCAGCTAGCAAATTCATGTCATATCAACTCGTAGGAAATGGTTGCTTTAGTATTTGCAATCAGGTTAACCTGGAAAAGTCTTCTGACTGGCATCCCTGCCTTCTTTTGCTTGCATGGGCAGCATATCGAAGTGAACAAGCTTGTTAAGGCAAGGCCATTAGACAATTTGGAGTTCTTACAATGGCTTAAGAGATACTGTGATTCTGTTAATGGTGGAATTATGAACGAGTATGCTAACTCCATGGCGTATTTTCTTCATTTTTACTCTTTTCTTTACCGCTAAAGGTTTTCTCCTGATGGAAGTTCTTTGATAGTAACTTGCACATGTTGTTGCATTCCAGGAATTATAATCCCATTGAAAGGAGATGCAAGGGCGGAAAAGAGCGAGTTAGGGGCTCTGTAAAGGCTTCAAAATCATTGCAATCAAATAATTCCCATCATCATTCTGCCACAGTTGACTCAGGTGGAATGCATAAAACTCTCAGTCAGCATGCACCACCAAACTAGCTTACATTCCTATTGCTAGTATTTTTGTTCACATGGAGACAATATTATTTCATTGCAGGGCCAAAGCCAGGTAGGGGAAGTACTGGGTCAATAGGGGGCCATAATTCATCAGTAGATATCCAGGCATTGTCGAATGAGGTATAACTCACCCTTTTCTTATTCCCTTGAACTAATTAAGAGTATTTCATGCTCGACTCCCTTGGATTTAGATTCTTGTTTTGTACTCTGTCCATTTCTTTTGTGCAGATTACAGATTTGAAGTTGTCGGTGGACCTACTGGAGAAAGAGAGAGACTTTTACTTTGCGAAGCTACGAGATATAGAGATACTTTGTCAGATCCAAGAGCTGGAAGAGCTTCCGGTAAGGGAGAAGCCTATATTCAAATAAAACGACGAGGAATACTATGTGTTGTCTCTTTGACCAAATGCACGTTATTTGTTTATGAATATATATAGGTGGCAGTTGCTATCAAGAAGATACTATATGCAGCCGATGCCAAGGAGCCCGCACTCGAGGAAGCTCAGGAGTATCTGGCAGAAGCATTGAACGCTAGTGAAGAAGAAGGAGAGGAAGCATGAGCTCTAGGGAGATACTGAGCTAGCATAGGTGCTTAAAGGGAAGTCTATTCCACCACCTCTCCAAAACCAATAAAGCACCAACAAGGCCCTTTAAACTCGCTATCGAGGGGCGCTTGTTGATCATATGCTGGAGAAGAAATTGGTAAAGAGGTTGTGCTCCTGTCATGGTCAATGATCAAGTATCCTTGCTATGATGTGGAAGATACCAATCTTCTTTGAGTTTTTTAATATACCAGCTGACCAGCTTGTACATCGGATGTGTATATTGTATTGTTGAAAGAGGTTGTATTTGATGGAGCCTGTAAGTTTTTTTGGGTAGGAAAACAGAAAATATTTGCAATTTTAGGGTCATCCTTAATCGTAACACTGGGCTCAATTAAGCCACAGATGGAGTGTTGGGCCTTGGTTTAAACTAAATAACTGTTTATCTTTGTATTTGGTATTTTCTAGTGGGTGTCCTTGATGTGATGGGTTGATTTGTTTGGGGCAAAGGGTGTTCGTTTTTTCTTGCATCTCATAACTTAACTTGGTCCAAGGAAGTTTGAGATTATCATGAACTGATTCTCACTACTACTCTGCTCCAATTAACATTCATCAATCCTTCCTTTGTGTGTCATTGTTAATACGTTGGTATCTGGTTGTTAACCGACTCCTTGAGAAGACTGTGCTAGTAGTTGGCATGATCATTTACCCTAAATAAAAGGCCTTCCTATGATTTTTGAGAAACAAGTGGTTTTTTAAAGTCGTGTCTGGCTTTGGTTTAACATTGAGGGATGATCGTTCATCCTAGATGCTCTTTCTCCATTTCCCTACTCATGAACGAAGATGGTGATTTATGGAAGGGAGGTCCTTGAAGCAATTTACTTTCAGGGATAATTACTGCTTCTATTGATGATCATGTTGTCATTGTTGCCTGATGGTACAGAAACAAGATGATGGTAGTGGCATGTCTGACAACTGAATCGATTTATACATCACCTTTATGAACTTGCAGTGCTCAATGAATTCTGTTGGGCCAATCCAAATAGGCCCATAAGTTAAACCAAGTTACTAGAAGGCGCCCAGTACAATTGGGCTGGCTTTAAACCAACCAACAAGCCCAACAGTGAAAACATGCTCATTTGATACTCGTGAGCTTGAAAGTAAGGCCCAAACTCTCCTAACAGGTTTCTTGATACGTAGACGCATAACGACAAATTCCCTATAGTCCAGAAGAGTATAGTTATTACGCCATGCCTCTGGTGTCTGACGCTCTAGGTGTTGGTCGAGGCGCATGGCCATTTAATGTACGAAGCATTAAATGCGGGTGCTGATGTGGGGCGGAAAGAAAGGCGGTTTGTTAGAATTGCCTCAAATATAAATAGGAGAAGACAACCACATTTAAAAGAAATAGACTCTCTCAGTAAAACATGGAGTTTGCACTTCTCTTTCTAGAAAACACTCTCTTGACTTGATTGTTGAGAGAAAGCGAGCACCTATGGCCCAGTGCTACTTGCATAGGTGATGCCTAAACGAGTCTGAGGATCAGAGGCGCAAAGGTGGTAACGTGACTCAAACAATTGGCGTGCTAGGGGACATGGGAATGGTTATCACAATACAAGTATTTTTTTTATACTTGTACAAGTTGCCCCTCTGCCTCATACCCAAGTTCTTCAACCATGAGAGCTTGTTTTGCTTGTCACTATTCAAAAAATGGTGTTTTAACCGAAACTCTAATTTTCCGCCTTGCCTTTCTAATAAGGGTAATACCTTAAATAGGATCGAACTATATCCATATAATCAACTTTGCTCCGTGGTTTGAGTTTGCTATCCTAGCCTCAACTATACCCCATATATACTAGTTTGGACGGACACGTGTTTTGACCGTCAATTTGGACGGTCACAACTGTTGACTAACAATCAACGATCCAGCTCACTGGCACGTCAGCGCCGAATAAATAAAAAAATTCCAATTTAAATTATTTTTCATATCTCATGTTTATAATAATAAAATAACAACAAAAAAATTTAAATTTAAAATTATTCTTCATGTCCTTGTTATAATTTTGAAAACATGAGATATGAAAAATAATTTTAAATTAGAAATTATTTTTATTTGGCACGGACGTGATAGTGAGCTGGATCGTTGACCTTTAGTCAATGATTTTGACCGTCCAAATTGACGGTCAAAATATGCATTCGCCCAAATCAGTCTATATGGTGTATAGCCTATGTTTGACCCGGCTTTTAGAAGTGCTTTTCGGCTTCAAAAGTTGAACCAGGGCCAAACATCTTCAAAGCTCGACTTTTAAATAGCTGAAAAGTGCTTTTGTATAACATAAAAGCAGAAGCTACAAAGCTCCGATTTGGAAGTACAAGATTATCCTTACCGTATTTTAATTTCATTTCAGAAAATATAATTTTCTTTCATTTATATCATTTTAAAAATAAAATAAATTATAAAAAATATTATTTAATATAAAAAAATCAACAAGATCCATTTTGACTACTTTATATTGTTAGAATTTTTATTTTTTATTATAAATCCTTTATAGTCATTTTACATACCCTCTTATATTAAAAAGCACTTCTAATAGTTTTGCAGTCAAACACTCAACTGTTTTTTTTTAGAGTACTTCTCTAAAAACTCTAGTAAGAAGTCGTTTCTGCAAAAGCTACAGTAGGACCAAACTATCCCATAGTTGAGAGCAGGATAGCAATTACGCAAATCACAAGCTAAAATTAATTATTTGGTTATAGTTGAGACCAATTTAAGATATTAACCCTTCTACTAATACTACTAGCAATATCACAAACAACGTGTTTCTAACATAGGGACTGTTAGCCATGGACTGGAAATCCTTAAAACAATGATGTCCAATTCTACCATGCAATTGAGATGGTAGTTTCTTCATTCTATTTAGGGCGGCAAATGAGAAAAGTTGAGCCGAGTTTTATCCCAATTTGAGTTTGACTCGTTAATAAATGAGCTGAACTCGAGCTCGAGCCATTTATTAACGAGCCGACTCAACCCAAATTCGAGTTAGACTTGTTTACTATTGGATCGTCCTCCAAATAATATATGGAGATTCTATTTCAGCACCCACACCAATCAAATTTTATGTCCAATGCGCATAGCACGGAAGGGTTGTTTAGTCTTTTAGGTTATGTTTTTTTCCTGTGTTTTGCAGCAGATATATTTCATTTGGGCTCCCAAGTCTTTCAATTTTTTTGTCCTTTAATTGTTCATGATGTTATTATGTATTATTATAAGTAGCCGGGTCAATTTGTATTAGGATAGGTAATCTAGATTATTGTTGGTTTACAATCAGATTATTATATCTATAATTCTAAGTAATCCGTCTCTTATTACTTTTCAAGGTATTATATCTCATTTATTTAACATCGATTACATAGTTTTTAAATAAAATTCAGTTAATTATTTATGTAGTTTAAAATAGAAAACTTATATTAGTGTCATGTACCATGATATCCGTTCTACAAGCATTCCTGGTAAAAGAATTTGTTAAAACTTTCATATCTCAATTTATTGCGGTTCATACTTGAGCTATGCATACCTGAATTTGAATTGCAAACTCCTCTAAAGAATGAATTTCTTGATATATCCAAATATCGTCTGACTACCTGAGAGTGAGAATCAAGTTGTCTCTAAAAGTCTAAAAACTCACCAATTCATTTGTCTGATATGATAGTGAACGAGCTCTTGGAGATCTTATTGCCCGAAATCTCAATGTAAATCTTACGTTTTCCACTTTGTCAGAGTAATCTTGATCCCAAGATTGAATAATTTGCTCTTCAAATGATATTGAGATTGGATTGGAAGAATTGAAGAGCTCAGATCATTCGTACCATTTTTACCTTGAGCTTGAGATTTATTTTTATGGAATTGTTGGTTGTTGTACGTGGTAGTTAATATTTTCACTATACATTGAGTGGGGTATTAAGGTTATCTTGAGTTGATTTTAGGATGATGGGACTTAACTACGATTTAATAAGCAAAAAGGATTCCTAATAAACGAATTTTCCATAAGTTTCATCACACGATTTGTTGCGACTCGTATTTGAACTATGAGGACTTGAAAACTGAACTGCAAATTGTTCTAAAGATGGAATTTCTTGATATGTACAAATATTGTTTGACGATCTGAGTTGTCCCTAAAATCCTAAAAGGAAAAAAATCTACCAATTAATTTGTCTAATATGACAGCGAACTTGAGCTTCTAGAAATCTATTATAAATCTACGTTTCCAAAAATAAATTATAATTTAGGCAAAATACAACTGTATATCCACAAGTATCAGGTTTGTGACAAATATATCCACAACTATCGAAATACACGATATATCCAAAAATCAGAGGGTCGTGTGAAAAATCTATCCAATTCCTTCTGAAACTTTAACGGCGTCTCAGACGGCGTGGAATACACTAACGGAATGCTGACTCATCACCGTATCACTTGCCACATAAGCCAAAAAACAATAAAACATTACACGTGGACGCCAAGTAGGCTGAATGAATAAAAACGAAAACAAAAAATCCACTTCCCCTATTTAATCCGTCGAGCTCTTCTCTCTTCCCCCTTTCTCCAATCGAAAAAATTAGGGTTCTTGGTTCTGGTTCGAATTCAAAAATCGGCGCCGTCGGAGAGGACGTCGCTGCGTGCGTTGAGCAACCTCGTCACCGTCCGGCAGTCGGGCTCTTGTTCCCTTTCCCCAAACTCCTCGATTCCTTTTTCACTACTGCATTCTTTGATTCTCTGATAATCCATGGCTACCGGAGTAGTCAAATCCGGAGACAGACCACCACGCAGCGGCTTCGTTGACCGAGGTAGGGGACACCCCTCCGCCGTCGAGAGTAGGAATGATAGAGGCTCGGAGGCAACAACGACGGTAACAAAACCCAGAGAGGGTAAATCATATCAAAGAAATCAAAATGAAGATACCCACGGAAAACCCACCACGATTAAGGAAAGGAAAAACTTGTTTTTGACAAGTTTGGATTGTGCGGTGGAGAGAGTGAGGGTGGAAAGTAAGTAAAAGAGGGAAACAATGGAATTCAAATGGAGTAAAAGCATAGGTGTGTGAGTTGAGAAGAAGATTTGGGATTGGGGTCTTTTATGGAGAGGTGCTCAGTGGTCTGTGAATTGAGAAGAAGATTTGTGCCGCTCCTCTCTTGAATCTGGATCTGCTACTTCCACTCGTTGTTGGCGAAAGGCTGATAACCCAAGGTGCAAAACAGGGGCAAGGTCGGGGCAAAAGATAGGAAATAGGGGCAAGGATTTTTTTTTTATTTTTTTCGTTATCCACGTGGATTGGTAGGGTGAAATAATGCTAACTCAACTCATTCTGTTAGTCTAATCAGACTGTTAGTTAACACCGTTAAAGCATGGGACGAAATTGGATATTTCGTGTATTTCGATA